CGTGTGTTTCAATGTGTATCTACTATGTGTTTGTGTAAGTCATGCGTCATAGACTATCTGAATCGTTTGCTTTCTCTATTTTGCTAACGGAGCCATCTGTGAGTAATAACTCTGTAAATTTATATTTAGCTTTAATTATTTTCTGATGATATAAAATCGATTTTCTGAAATGCTATGTTTTGTGTGAATGAATGATTGTCCAAGTTTCTGAAATGTATTCGTGGTCTCCTTAGCATCATGTGATATGCGTCCCTCTATAGGTCATCGGAATGCCTTTATGGTCGTCCTTTATGGGTCATCGGAAACGTCTCTATACACATGAGTCATCGAAATGCCTTATGGCTGCTCCTTTATGGATCATCGGAATGCCTTCACGGTTGTCCCTCCATGGGTCATCGAATTTGTTAACGTTAATTTATGTACCATGTACTATTATGTGAAATGTATGAATTGTGAAGGCAAATATGATTACGTACACGAATCTGTTTCTGCTTTGACATCATGTACAAGACTTTGTTTCTGTATGGACATTATTCAGTAAAACATTCACTCTGTTATTATTTACTGGACTTTCGTTCACTATTTATATTATATATGTAGGTGAGTAGGTGAATGACCAGGCCTAAGCTGCTGCCTAGAGAGTTTTGGGTCAGCTAGCCATCGTGCCTCCAGGAGAGGTTCCTGTTTGTAAAGTCAAGTTTTGTTATAATGATCTCAGTTTTTTCCAGTCATTTATTGTATTCCGGACTCGGGTTTCGTAGTTGTATGTTGTTGTTTATATCTTGTTTGCATCATTTAATTCTTTGTATTTGAGTTGTGAGATGTGTTGGGTAAGTTTGGAATAGGTTGGTTGTGAGTTGGAACAAAAGGTTGCTGCCTAGGATTTGGCTTCTGCGCTCGAGCGAGCCTTGGGTGTTTGCTTCTCCGCTCGAGCGAGGCTTCCTGCGCTCGAGTGAGCCTTGTGTGATGTGTCTCTTCGCTCGAGCGAGGACTCATGCGCTCAAATGTGCGTCTACGTCTCTAAAAGACCTGAAGGTTGGTATTCTTCGCTCGAGCGATCTTTCTTGCTCTCCAGCGAGCTCTGTGTTATTGATTCTTTCGCTCGAGCGAGAACTCTTGCGCTCAAGCGTGCTTCTGCGTTGTAGACCTGAAGCTTTACATTGTTCGCTCGAGCAACGCTTTTTGTGCTCGAGCAAGGTTCTTTTGTGTCTGGTCGCTCAAGCGACGACTCATTCGCTCGAGCGAGCCCTGTATATATCAATTCGCATCAGCGTGATTTTTATCACTTTTTCATCTCTTTTTTCACTCCAAATCCTAAATCCGGTTGTCTCTCTCTCTAAACTCTCTCTCTCTCTATAAATACACCATGTTTTAGAGGTTTTCTACCCTATTTCCTTTGTTAAAAAGATAGAGCTTGGCGAGGGCTTCCCTTTGATCCGAAAAAGTATGGATTTGGAGCATCTTGAGTTTCTCTCTTCTTCTCCTTTGAGCTTCTCCATTTTAGGTAAAGATAATCTACTCATTAATATAAGCTTTGACATAAATGTTAGTCATTTTATATAAATGGTGGGATTTAAGAATTTTGGGTAAAGTTAGGGTTTGAGTTTGAATGTTTAAAAGAGGGGTTTCCTATTGTTGGGTTCCATTTGTATGTGAGGTCTTGAAAATTGGGTTGTTTGTGTGTAATGGGTGAGATTTGACCTTGGGAGCAATATTTGAGAAAACGGAGAAAATGTCCTAATTTGAATTATAAAAGTTATTTGCATAAATAATGAAAATGATGTGGAAATATGAAGTTGGTTTGAAAATCATGAAATTAGAGGAAATTGTGATTAAATGGTGTAGTTGGATTGATAAATCACTCACCTATGGAAAATGTGATATATTATCTGTTGAGAAATTTATTTATCTGTTTAGATATATCTGTTTTGGGCTATCGGTGGAGAATAATCATGATTGTTGTAGAAACTGCATGATGATTAGGTAAATTGAAACTAATCAATTGGGCTATGTCATTTAATATGACGGTTGAATATAAACATAGTATATGTGATTAAATTGGTCATTGTATATGACAACGTGTTTAAATACATTGTATATGTATCTGTGTTTGGGAGGAGATTTGGGATGTACTCCATTGTGTGGGAGGAGATAGGAGATTGACTCCATTGATAATTAAGTTAGCTGGCGTGTCCAGGGTGAAAATCCCGAAATTATATATATATTTGGGTGCCGGTTCCCTCGGACGTAATTCCGTAAAATGGCAAGTGAATGGAAGTGTATGAATGATGTTTATGATTGAAGTGTTGACAATATGAGTTGTAGTCTCATTTTGAAATGTTTAAATATCAATGAACTATGTCAATGAATTGATTTGGATAAATAAATGGAAATGGATTGAAATATGGACGTGAATGTTGATTGGTTATGGAAAGGATGTACGTGGTTTACAAGTGTTACACATTTATCGGATGCTAATGTTTTAGTTAATTCTCATATACTGTTTAGCATATCTCTACTAGGTATTGGCTCACTCTATTTGGGACACCATTTTCAGGTACAGGTGATATGTCGCCTCCAAGGTCTTAGCTTGAGAGGTTTAGGAGTTGAAGACTCCGTTTGTTATTTATATTTTGTGTTAAATGTAAATCCAAGCCGAGGGCTTTTTATGTATAGAGTTAGAACTCTTCTTTTGTTGTAACTAAGTGATAACTTGGAAAGCTGTAAGCTTGTAGGGCATTTACTTTGTTGTTAACATGTAATATCTTTTGTAAAAAAGACTCTGATGAATGAAAATGTATTATTTCTTTATGTTCATGGGACTTGTGAATGAATGATTTATGTCTTAAATTAAGGGCGTTACATTTGTGATCCATGACAATGATGTTTTATTATTTTGTTTTTGTTTACCTGTACGATGGGCTAAGTCCCTTATGAATCTGTATGGTGTTGCATAACGTATGGAAGTTTGGCAACATATATATATATATATATATAAGTTTGAAATTTTTCTATCACATGTATGTTTACACAACTCTATGGATATTATATTTTGTATATTTGCTTCTGCAACCCCTCTATTATTATAATTTCGAAGTTAGAGGCCTTCGGTAATACCAGAATTACTGGCCGGTTACGACGCTAAATCTATAGGGATAGGTTTGGGTCGTGATAAGTTAGTTCTGATTAAATTCATAATCAACTAATTAATGATTCAACATTAGAAGTAAAAAATAAATAAATTTCATGGAGGAAAACTACAGAAGATATATTCCCATAATCCAAGTAAGTTATGTGAAGTTAGTTCATCAAAACTAACAATTGAAATTGAGATTGACTGATCCATGGCCGGTGATCCTCACTAATCAGCATTTTCTAGTTCAACACTGAAGAAGCAAATGTTAATTTTAATATTCATATGATTAGAGTTTGTGTGTAAATTTAATAGATGCACACGTGCTTTGTATGTACGATAATATTATAAGCATTTGATTTATTGGTCAAAACTAGGTTAGTACAACATTTTGTTTCACAAAAATCAAGTTTTTAATTATTTGAAAATAGATTATTTTAATAATATTTTGACTTTTATAAAAGATGTTTAAAAAAGTAGACAGTTTATATAACTTTTTAACTTGTTGACCCATAACGTGGTCTTTTTTTTTTTTGGGGGGTGACAACCACAAGAATCAAGAATTAACCCAACCCTTCTATTTAAAAATGCCTTTAGTTTGTTTATGTGTTGTCGCCTCTGTCTAATTAATGAAGTTCTTCTTTTATCCAAAAAAAAAAAAAAACCTTCCACAAAAAATAAAAGTAAATAAATAAGATTAATGTCTAAGACCCCCTTTTTTCTCACCCCTTTGACCCCCTCTCTCTCTCTCATTGGTTGGATTTTCTTTTTCTTTTTTTTTTGTTGCCCTTGTTTTCCAATCACCACTTGCCACATGTGTATGGGGTGGTGATTGGAGGGGGTCTCCATCACTCTTCTTTGTTTCATTTTGTTTCTCTCATGGCTCCTCACATGAGTAACAGTATAATATCGCAAAACAATTTGTATGGGACTCTCTTGAGACCTATATAATAGAGAATATTAATTTGTGACATTGTTGCTGATGACAAGTAATAATGTTTTTGACAATAGGTAGTATAATTATATGTCGGTTATTAATTTAACGATCCAAATTATATTATGAATGATTAAAATCACATATGGTCATTTATATCCCTAATTGAAGTTCAGGGCAGCTGGCTAAAGTGGCAAAACCTGCCCTAACTGTTTTTTTTTTCTTTTTTTTTGTTAATATTCCTTTTTCTTGAGAAAAGCAAAGTAGAACAGTGATAATGTCCCAAGCTTTTAAAAATGTGAGATATTATCTCAACATTTAACCCTTGTCATGACTGATAAATTTGGGGGTTCTCTCCCGGTGGCAAACACAGGTTTTTCCTCATTTGTAGAGACATATTCTTGATGTTCCAAGAAATAGAATCATATGATAAAATAAGTGAGATAACAGGAATTTAGACACTTATTTATTAAACTCTAATGGAATCTTTGTCCTGGGTGTGATTTTAAAATTATTATGTGGTCGGTCTCATATACTATATGTAGTGGTGTGTGCACGACAGATAGTACTTTCAATCTATCAAAATTGTCAATTAGAATAATTTTTGGGGGTCAGCAGAAGAAAAACTAAATTTGGAGCATGGTTACTTTATCTTAAAAAGATGGTTACTTTATCTAAATTTCAATCAATTTTTAATTTTAGTGAGACATAACAAACAACTTAATGCGCAAATTTTGAATACTATCTAAAATATCACTAATGCATTAGCATAAACACACGAAAAAAATAAGATGTATTAATGCATTTGTGACATGTACCCTCAGTTCGATAACTTAAATTTGTTGAAGATTGTATTCTTATCATTAATAGATTAAAAAATAAAAAAAAAAAAAAAAAAGCAGGCAGGCAGGCAGGCAGGCAGGAAGAAAGATAATAGTGAAGGAGAAAAAAAGTTTATCAAAACCCAGACAGAGTCTATTACCTTCAAGGAAACCTAATCAGAAGATAGCTTAAGAACTTGCAAAATTCACCATTACAAAATCTTCAGAAGCATATCAGCAAAAAGACAATTCTAACTAAACTGACAAAAACATTAAGTATGATGATGACAAAAAGATGCATGTCAAGATTTACTCAAGATGTAAAATCGGTCTCTTTGTCTGGCTCTTTGTGAATCAAATAATCAGGTTGAGCCCCCAATCAGCAACTCGAGGAGCTGGCGTTTCTTGAGCTTTGAAAACCCTTTCATGCCACGAGACTTTGCAAGGGCTCTCAATTCTGGCAGCTTCATTGAGTTTAAGTCCTTGTCTACAATAGGTTTCTGTTTTTCTGCATCATCCTCACTATAATTTTCATCAATGTCAGAAGGTTCATCCTCTGACAACCCATCAAACACATCCCCATTAGAAAAAATGGGTTCAGGCTCAATTTCAAGCTTGAGTTCATGTATTTCAGGTTCAAGATGAGTCCCATGTCTTTTACCATCTAATAGTGTATCTGCAACAGACTCAGAATGATTTTGCTGGAATTTGAGTTGAGGTACCGGAGACCTACGTTGAAAATTTGATACTGGTCTGCTCAATGGAGGGGATTCACTGTCCCGGGGCTCATCCTTCAGAGTGTTATTCAAGTCCAAGGAGATCGTGCTTTTCTCTTCCTCAAATGCACCATTCTGATCATGCTGGTCCAAAACAAACTCTCTGCTGCTACCATCACTGCTGATTTGTTTCCCTTGTTGAGTAGTGTGTTTCCTTAGAAGCTTGAGGAGAGAATCAACAGTCTTGCTTTCCTTATCTTGTCTCTGCGACAACTCTGTCTTCTTCTCTTCCTTGACAGCTGCTCTTTCTCGAAGTTGAGCCTGGACCTTTCTGAACAATTCAACAATCTCCTTTTCTCTTGGTCCTGGAGTTGCCGTTGCTTGGAACTTTGGGCCACCGGAAACAGAAAGTAATGGCCCATTTTTTGAGGGAAACAGTTCAGATTCTTCAAGGGTTTCAGAGCCATCTCTCTCTTCATTTTGCCTGTTCCTGTTTCTGGAGAACCCATGCCTATTTTGCCTTGAGAAGTCCGGGTTTCTTCTATAACCACTAGAACCTGCCTTGCACAAAGGATACATTCCCCTGGAAGTGAATCTTGGCAATATAATCTTGATCTGTGAAAGGGTTTTGTAGTCGCCACGAGAAGAGCTAGGGGACAAACTGAATGCTCTTCCAGAAACTCCTGAGAAGGGGACACATCTTCCATCTGTTGTTCCATAACCTGTAAAAAAGTTGGGATCCATGCATTGAAAATATTACAGTTTCAGGATGTGAACACTGGTAGCGTTTGGTTTACTTTTCAAAACTCAACTTTGTTTTTAAATCATGATTTGGATTAAACATGTTAACCAAACATATTTTTAAAATACAATTCAAAATTACTTTCAAAACACCTCTCTTCTCTTTTTTAATTATTATTATTCAATCAATCAATCACTTTTTCTCTCTCATCTCTCCTCTCTCCTCTCATATTCTCTCACATTCTATAGATCAATCAATCAAAAAAAAAAATTACAAATCATCCCAAAACTATTTTCAAAACTCATAACTAAACAAATTTTCTATTTTCAAATCATGATTCAAAAACTCAAAATTCAAAACACAACTCCACACTCAAATCATAATTCTAAAACTAAACCAAACAGACCCGTGAATAATGTGTCAAAGGCTGCACGAAGAAATATCAAAACCCAATAATAGAATACATCCGAACTGTGAAAGTCAAATGGTAAATAGCTAGGGTAAACAGATAATCGAAAGCTTCATCAAAAAAAAAGAAAATAAAATAAAAGAAAGCCAATGCAAGCATCAAACTAAAAAGCTGAAAACATGTTATCGGCCCAGTTGGAGGCATATGGAGATTCTACACACCACTAAGCCACTCCATGCTTCCATTTACAGAAATTTGTATTCATACATACTTCCCACACCATGGATGAAGAATGCACTTGTTAATTTTATATTAGACACGAAACTAACTACATTGAGAAGAAGTCTGATGTGTGGATTTAATGGTTGGCTTGGCTGTGATATTTGAAGGTACATAAGCATAGGTCGGTTCTGGGTTGGCACAGGTAAACCAAGCATTCAAACTGAGAACCAAACTGATCTGGTTAGTTCTCGAAAATTGGGAAACAGGACTGAACCAACTATCCTGAGAACTGGACCAAAATGAACAACAAAGGTCATTTTCGGTTCAGTTTGCAAGTTAATTGGTTCGCTCATGCACCCCTAGGCTAGTAGCCATGTACATTGGACACCATGCACCAACATTGGATAATATCAGAACATCAAAAAGTGGAATGATATGTCACACACAGTTCAGGCTCCTATTTCCAATAAATGGCAAAAAAATTGAATTTCTTTCAACTAATAAACATAGTTCTCTTCTTCAGGAATTCATGAAATGCATGCCTAAGAACAGTATGGATAGTCAACAGAATATGAAACTCTTAACAATTATATAGCTTAGTACGATCCCCTTATCAAATCCCAGATGACGGGTCAAGACATTGATAACAAAATGAAGCATTTAACAAATAAAACAAGACATCTAATATCAAAAGCAGCCAGGGGGATTCACAGTTTGAAAGCCAAGTGGGCAAAGACAGCAAGTACTAATTGGAGTTATTAAAGAAAGGCAAAATACTAACAAGTGACCCTTATGCATTGTTTAATGTTGGAAAGTATGCGAGTGTCTTGAAAATATCTAAAAATATTAAAACGTGTATTGATTTCAATAAAAGTGAATTGAATTTACTACAAACTGTATTGTGTTCTTCATTTTTTTGTCTTTTTACTTGTGCACTAGGGGCACTTGTTAGCAACACCCTTAAAGAAAAGAGCAACCTTTCCATAATGAATTTCTCGGTGGCAATATTTCCTAATCCAAAATGATACATAGAGGACACAGAGTCATTTCATCGAACAAATGGCGGGCATCTCTGAAATTCTTAACCCAAACAATTCAAACGGGCATAAAGCTCTTTGCTAAATCTCAGGACTAGTTTGCATACATGTGTATACGTTTTATTTATAAAGCCACACATGTCTACACACACATACGCCTATTATAACATCTACATGGTATATAATCGAATGCATGAGCAACGATAGTATGTGTATATATATACATATTGGCATAGAGTTTCAAGCCACAATCAGAAGCAAAGTAATAAACTTCACAAACCCATATACTAATTTGTCGCAAGAAAGTACAAATCCTTGATGGGAGGACAAGGAATATAAGCGAATGGTTGGATAATTAAGTAGGAAGAACAAAACCCTAGAATGTACCTGAGAAGTTTTGAGTGACGCAGTGGATTGCTGGAGACATTGGTTTGGAGATGAAGGATGAGACTTCAATGGAGGTTTTGCATTTTTTGAGGTGCCCTCTCAGCTCAGAGTCACAGGTCGCAAGCTTGAACTCGGCAAGCGTGAGCGTTTGTGTGTGTATATATAGCGATTGACGACATGAGTCCGAAACAAGTGAGGGCTGTTCAGTATTTCGGGTAGGGTCGTATTCGAATCGCCTATTCGGGTATGCATTTGGGTCGGATCCCAATGAAATGATAGATAGAAAATTAGTAATATGTGTCATACTCTCTCACCAATTATCATTCATTATAACTCTTCATATTCATTAATCACTCAATATAAATAATTAATACACAACTTTTTTTTACCAATTATTCTATTATGAAACACCACGTAACCATATTCCTAAACCACTAAATAATCACCCGTGATACACAGACGCTTCCTTTTTTGTTCTTTCTTTTCTTTTTTTTTTTTGGTTCGGTATATATTTAAGCTTTTTTTATTGACTTTTAAAATTAATTTTAGCATTTTTGTAGATATTTTTCAATTAACTAATTTTAAAAAAACGCTATGCATCTCAAATAATTTAATTTTATCAAATCTCTTACATGAGTGTGGGACCTACACAAACTCATATATATATATATATATATCACACCTATATAAAAAGGTTGATAAAACATTTAATAAATTATTTAGGTGCTGGCATTACTTCTAATTTTTTTTATGCAATTGCCTATATCAGCTCTTTCTATTACTTAAGTTTCTTATTTCTTAACATCACTTTGCCTTGAAATTCGTGTATAAATATATATTTTTTAATTTATTTCATATGTTTCATTTCAAGTTTAAGATTTTATAATAAAGGAGAAATAACTTGTGTGGGGACATATTTTTTGGGTAACAACACGTGGCTAAAGTGGCACCGAAATGCCAGCTGAGGTACCGCGTGTCCTTGACTTGACGCCGAGGTAATCTCGGTTAGGCCAAGGTTATCTGCGGAGATACAGGAATCCGAGATGAACGGATAAGGGACAAGAGTCCTAGAATGGGGGAGGACCTCAGACTGGATAAGGGTAAAGCTCTTGGGGAGTTTATCTTTATCTATTGGAGAGTCCGGGATAAGCATTGAGCTAGAGTCCATTGAAACTAGGCTTCTAGAGGGATCAGGTCAGTGTTGGCTATAAAAGTAAGGCACCCTCGTGAGTCTAAGGTACACTTTTTGTTTCTTAGCTAGTGAGTTAAAGTACTATTTGCTATTTTTGAGAGATAATTGAGTACTGACTTGATCGTCGGAGTACCCCCAAGTGGACGAACCACCGCCGAAGTCTTATCTTTCTATGACAGGTCGTTCGGGCGCACTCTATTTTGCTGGTATTCTCCAGCTGAGTACTTGTTTAGCAGTGTGGTCAGAAAACAGCACACACAATTTGGTGTCGTCTGTGGGAAAGAAACGAGAATAGATGGCCAACAACGGACAGAAAGAAAAGGTTGATGACGACATCCCTACTATAAGTGGTAAGAACATTGACCCTAACGTAGAGGAGGATAACTGCAACGAAGAAACTCAGGATAAAAATCCTGGAGAGAAAGACGTTGGCAAGGAGGGCGACGTACCAAAGAAGTCAGACCGAGGCAGGTATTATAACGAGGACAACCTCCAGGTATGGAAAGATAGAAGCCTACGAAGGGACGGCGAGGTGAAGGGAATGGCAAACAAATTGGCCGACCTGTAATCAGTCGTCAATTTCATGATGCAGAACAACGTCATGCAGCCACCGTTACCATTACAAGATACGCCAATTCCAGCGGCCAAGAACAATGCCCAAAAAGGACAGAAAACAGTCCCTACAGTCCCCCAGCACACCAGGACCAAAGAACACTCTCACCGGCCTTCAAGGGAGATCGGGCGAGGAGATTCGATGAAAGGAGATTCTCGGAGGACGCATCGCACCAAAGAAGCTGACCCCAAAGAACATCAGCATGTTCAAGGGAAGGAACTTTGTTTTCATGCAACAAACGGAGAGAGGTCCAAGAGGACTCATAACAACACCGGGAGTAGCGCACCAAAAAGGTTGAAATCCGTTGATAACCGAGCTCCTGGACAGACCAAGGAGGATCTGAGGGATTACCTCCAAAGGAAGCGACAAAATGCCGAGGTAACATCACCGGTCAAGCCGAGAACACCGTTCTTGGTTGAATTGGACAAGTTTGAGGCCCTGAAAAAGTTTCACATGCCGAGATTCCAGATATACGACAGTAAGTCTGACCCTAACTTTCGCGTCGGCTTGTACCTAAACTCGATAGCACTGTACACCGGGAACGAGTCGTTGCTCTGCAAAGTGTTCCCCTCATCCTTTGAGGAAATCACATCAGACTGGTTTTACAAGTTGTCGAAAGGAACTGTGAAAAGTTGGGAAGGCCTAGCCGAGATGTTCGTGGCTAGATTTGTGACAAACAAACTACAACCATTAAGGGTGGACTCCCTGATGGTTCTAAGAATCAGCGAGGATAAAAGCCTTAGAGCCTATGCCAAAAGGTATTATGAGGTGTTCAACCGAATACTAGGATGCAACCAAGAGGTGGCGGTCGTGTCTTTTAAGAACGGCCTAAAAGATGATTGTCTGCTTCGAAAATCACTAGCAAAAACATTGCCAAAAAGTATGGAGGAACTTATGGCCAGGATAGAAAAATATGCCAAGGCCAAAGAGGACACGCCGGGAACAAAGACGTCAAAACAACAGAAGAGAAACGGCTCGCCGAAGCGAAGCTGAGGTAATAGTGGATACAATAAGCAAGAGACAGTACTGAGGGCTACACAGGCAGTCACAACTGTATTCTGAATTTTGGTCTACAAGGTCTTGGAAAGAATCCAGAATCAGCCCTATTATAGAGCACCTGAGAAGCTTCCTGGTGAATTTATGGGAAGAAGTCTGGGAAAACACTGCGCCTACCACAACGAGAATGGGCATCTAACTCAAGGGTGCATAGCCCTAAAGGCACATCTGGAAGACCTAGTAAGACAAGGTCATCTAAGGGACCTGGTAGATAAGACCAAGATAAAGGAATAGCAAGCGAGACTATCAGGCACCGGCAGCACCACCTCCACCAACACCGCAACCGCAAGCAGGAGGACCTCGAGTGATCAATGTGATTCACTCGAAGGTCAATGAGAATGAGATATGTGGGGAAACTCATAAGGTAAAACACTTGCAACATGTGTATCAGGTTCGGCAGAAGAGACCTAGGGTAGACGAGTGCCAGGGACCAGTGGTATCCTTTACTGAAGATGACCTAGAGATGGTGCAGCATCCACACAACGATGCCTTGGTAATATGCCTCCAGATTGGAGAGTGCTAGGTAAAGCGAATTCTGATCGACCAGAGCAGCTCTTGTGACATCATGTACGTCAGGTGTTACAAGGAGCTTGGCCTTCACCAAGATGATCTGGAACAATCCAATGGTCGGGTTCAATGGAAAGCCGACGTGGCCCCTGGGGGCAATAAGTTTCGAGGTGCAGGCTAGCACCAAAAAGGTAAAAACTGAGTTTACAATAATTGACACTCCCTCCCCTTACAATGTTATCCTAGGAAGGTCATGGATGCATGCAATGAAAGTTGTTCCCTCAACATTGCACCAGCTGTTGCAGTTCCCAACAGAACATGGAATTGAGGAGGTCAGAGGGGATTCAGTGTAAGCAAAGAATTACTCCATGGCAACAATAAAATCCACCTGCAACATACGAGAAGCAAAAGCAACAAAGATTGAAAATGAGGACATGGAGGTCCTTGAGGACATCGGCAAAGAACCAACTAAGAAAAGTAAGGAAGTCCTGAAAAAGATCTTAGTCCAGCAAGGAGATAAAGAACGCTTCTTCCTTCTCGACTCAGGCTTGGCCGAGGAAGAGGAAAGGGAATTAGAAGCATTCTTGAGAGCAAACCTTAAGATGTTTGTTTGGACACCATACGAGATGCCTAGCATTGACCCCGAGGTCACTTGCCATAAACTGAATGTGGATATGTCGGCTAAACCTGTCATCCAGCAAGCAAGAAGGCCGACGTTGATGCATGTTGAGGCAGTAGAAGAGGAAGTGGATAAACTTCTAGAAGCCAGAGCCATTCGAGAGGTAAATTACCCGACATGGTTATCAAACACAGTGGTTGTGAAGAAAAAAAAATGGGAAGTGGAGAGTCTGCGTGGACTTCACTAGCCTAAACAAGGCTTGTCCCAAAGACAGTTTTCCACTACTCAAGATTGACCAATTGGGAGATGCCACTTCAGGGACAAAGGGTATCATCAGATAGCCATGTACCCCCCAGATAAATAGAAGACCGCATTTGCCACCCCAAAAGGGATGTATTGCTACAGAGTGATGCCTTTTGGGTTGAAAAATGCATGAACAACTTACCAAAGATTGGTAACTAAGATGTTCAGACATCTAATAGGCAAAACAGTGGAGGTATACATTGATGACATGGTCGTAAAGACCAAGGAACCTGAAGATCATCAGGCCAACCTGAGGACAGTCTTTAACATTTTAAAGACATTTCAGCTCCGACTCAATGCATCAAAGTGCGCATTTGGAGTTAGGTCAGGAAAGTTCCTAGGATACCTGGTTACCAGAAGGGGCATTGAGGCAAGCCGGGATCAAATCAAGGCCATTCTAGAGTTAGAGAGCCCAACGTTGACAAAACAAGTGCAGATGCTGACTGGAAGGGCTGCAGCCTTAAATAGATTCATAAGTAGAAGTTCTCATAAATGCAAACATTTCTTCAGTTTAGTAAAGAAAGTCACAAACTTCTTATGGACAGAGGAGTGCGAAGTCGCCTTGGCCGACTTGAAGAAATACTTGACCACAACTCTAATTCTCTCAAATCTAGTACCTGGAGAGGAACTGTTCTTATACTTGGCGGTCTCAGAGCACGCAGTAAGTGTAATAATAATAAGGGAAGATAAGGGAGAACAGAGGGCAGTCTACTACATGAGTAAAACCCTAGCAGATGCAGAGACGAGATATCTACCTTTGGAAAAGCTAACACTAGCCTTGGTAATGGCCTCCAAGAAACTGAATCATTACTTTCAAGCCCACAAGATTGTGGTGTTAACTGAGCATCCTCTGAAGTCCCTGTTGCAG